TAACGCATGGCTGACTGCAGGAGAGGCAGAGCCTGATAATTTCAAGCTAATGTGGGGCCCGAGTCGCCCTTGCAGAAGTCCGGTGCTGTAATCGGTATCAGTAGGATACGTAATGGGTATTAAAAAATAGACCGAAATAACTACTATATGCATTTCAATAGGCGTAATTATGCCAATTCATTTTGTTTGGCTCCTGTGCAGCATGTGTAGATAGGCTGTTTGACTGTTCACTTACTATAGCCGCGTCCATCACCAATTATCTTGTCAACGGAGCTGAATGTGTGAAAAAGAGTGTGGTAGACGTTGTGTGAGTCTGCCTCACCACAAATTACATTCCCGCGCAACTTTTGCCGGTGTTGTATTCACTCCGTTGGGCACGCGGTGGACTTCGGTTTCCACGGTCGAGCTGTCATACACTCCTAACGAATACTGGCGTACGCGATTTTCGAAGTCAAAATCCGACTCCTGCGTCAATTTCTGCCAATTTATCGAACATTTTTTCCAATCACTAAATCCAATCTTTGGTGTTAAGCCATTCAACTGGGGAGGATTTAAGAAATAAAACTCCTTGCTGAAGGATATATCCAAAAATCACGGAAAATTCGCCGCAACCCCCATTGGCGGACCGAATTTTTCTAACTTGTGAACCCGCAACCTGTTGATTAGGAGTCCAACGCTATAAAAATTGAACCACGGGCTCGTTTCCCTACCGGCTTCGATTGAGAGCATTGATGTAGGTAGCGAGACGGACGCACACCCATCGGTTCGGGGACTCACTCGCCCCGTTCCACACAGTGGCTAGTATTACAGGCAGATGAACAAGTATTATTTCACCTATAGGTTGATCCTGGTAATGCGAGGGTTCCAACTCCAGGGCAAAGATGAATGTATGCGTTTATTTCAAGTTAACCCTATCAGCTTCACCTCCCCCTCCGTGACCTTCCTACTGAGTTCTCATACGGCGCGAACTGGCCGTGTGAATGCGTGTTTATTTTGAGTCATTTGGCAGATTACACATGCCAAGCCCGTCTAGCCCTGCCCACGTTCTCAACCCTTGTTTAACCCCCTCCCCGTCCTCTCCCCCCAGGAAAATGAGCTGACAGTCTTTAGCGTCCATTGTCGCGGTGGTTATGTGCTCCACCTGGGTCACCTGGAGGGAAAGTTGGCCGTCGGCGACAAGGTTCGCGTCCGCCTGGATCCGGGACGACGCGTGGGCCTGATGCGCAACCACACCGGCACCCACGTCCTCAATTTTGCCCTTCGTCGAGTGTTGGGGGAAGCCGACCAGAAGGGTATTCTTGTCTCCCCGGACCGTCTACGTTTTGACTCCTCTGCAAAGGTACTGTAACGAAGCTAACGCATATACAGAAACTTTGAAATAATAGTGTACGGCCTTAGGCAGATTTGTAACCTAAAATAATTATTAAAAAATTCGTTTGGAATAACCAACTTTCGAAGGAATATTCGCGTTCCGCAGACGCGAAAAGTAGCTACAAATAAGACCAATAAATGTGAATACAGGGTGTCCTAGAAGTAACTGACCCTTTTGATTTGCCAATAAAACGAA